AGCAGGAATCTGATTGCAAAATGGCTCATTTTATAAACATCACTACTTTTATGACTGACAAAAATATGCACGATCTGGTGCCAGCTCTTTCACAAATACATATTTTACAACTCGTGTCATAAATTGCTTGCAAGTACAAGACTAAGATGTTAAAGATCTATGCTCAATCCATAAAAAATGGCACAGTTCATACAAAGATTTCATGGATTTTGCTCTTCTGCCAGTTTCATATCCATCTAACTTCACTAGTTTCAGAGGAATATATACATAAATTTACATCTAAATCAAGTCATCTCTGGTACACAATATTGGACCTGGGATTACACATGTGTTTAAAACACAAGTGAAATACCGGACAGAGAAAAGATATCAGACCTTGCCTATTTTAAGACCACTACAGACTGTATATCAGAGCACCCAGGAAGCACACACTTCTTCAGAATTTGCTTTTTAAGCTTGCTGCCCATTGTAGAAGTCTCTTTAAAACTGCATGGGCCATAAAGTATCGATTAAGTGGAAACGTTTGAGAGTTAAAAAAAACATACATGATATTCCACTATTTAAAGCAGTAATGCACCCTAAACTGAAGCACTTCCTCATGGTAGTAACTGCTGTGCTGATAGCCATCACAGCTTTTCTATTTATAGTACAGGTTAAAACAAATGTTCTTGAATGTTTTAGTTCACTCATGTATGACATGGATACATTTATAATAAGCTTAAGTACTGGGAAAAAAACCAGTCATTTGATACTGACCAACTGCCCATACAAACAGGAGAACTTCTAGTAGTTTTGTATTGCCTGCTCTTCTCAGTCACTTTGCAGAATCCCTTCAAAAATCCAGGGTCAACTTTTTCTAATCTCAGAGTCACTGGGATTTTTTGTTTGGTGGTTGGTTTGGGTTTTTTTGGTGGTTTGTTTGGTTTTTTTAACATTTCCATTAAGACTATTTAAAAATAGTAGTCTTGATATAGCAGGGTTAAAAGTCAGACCTCACAAGACCTCAAATTTTAAGACATAGTTTTAAAAACCTCTTAAAGAGATGTGCCTTCTGGTTTTATTAAAAAAAAAGAAGGTAACATCAAATAAAAAGCAAAACTAGAGAAGAACAGGTAGAACATTTTACTTTCATCAAACCTTAAAAGTAAAGTATATTAAAAAACATGGCTTGGAATTTCAAGAACAGGAATATAAACATGAATTTTCTATCCCAGAAAAAAAATTCATGCAGGTGTTACAGTATCTGATCACTCTTTACATCCACTGGTAGGCAACATCAACTTAAATGTTATCAAATAGATACAGAGATACCATCAATTCATACAAATAGCAGGGTCTTCTGGCCTCAGTCATACTGTAGATCAAGGAAATCTGTTCTTTGGTAACTGGAGTAGGCTCATTTTCCATTCCAATGCAGGACTGTTAGGTAGCCACTCATCTCAGAAAATTACAACTCCTGTAGGCATAGTCTGGGCTACTTTTGTCACAAGAAAATAATATCAGAGGTGGTAACAGAGGTATAAACGCACAGAAGTTAAAATTATTCACTCCTTGTGGTGGTTGTTTCAGGAAAAAAAATCCAGACTCTCTTCTTCTCTATTCATTGTTTAATGTAGGTAACATTTAGACTCATATGTAAAGGTATTTTGATAGATGGGAATGTACACATGCACACTTTCAGTCTAAATAAAGATACCTGTGTGGAGAATGGTAATTTAAAGTTAACATGACTTGAAGGTATTTCTATAATAAAGTTTAAAGATTTAGTAAACTGGGACATTACAAATCCAAAAAAGTGTTTCTAGATTTTTCTCCTTCCCTTTTTCAACAAAGACTGACAGAATATACATATACAAGTTGACATTTTGATTTATCCAAAACAATTTTTCAACTTTGCTCAGCTTGCAAGTCCTATTGACTAAAATGTAATATCATTCACAACAAAATATTTTGAGTAAGTGAAACAATAAGCAAAGAAAACCAAAACTAAGCTCAGAAGCTAAGTGGTTTAGAAAGCCTGATAACATCTATGTGTGCATAAGTGTGTCCATAATTTTTTTTATACATTATATATATAGACACACACACACATATATATACACACACACGTGCGCACATGCGCACACGCATACATCCACATTTGTAACCTGCAGTGAAGATCAATCTATTTTCTAATAAGGAACAAAACACATTATTTAAAAATGTGGCTAATTTAACAAAACGGAGAAGAAACTGCTGCTATCAAAATATACAATTTGGATTGCAGACTAGAAGGCTAACAACATTAAAAAAATAGTTTTAAGCAAAACCCCTTTGCTTCTGAATAACAACAGGTATCAACCTGCCATAGCATGAAGCATCCAAACAAGATTTTATAAAAAGTTTAAACTGTGACCCTTCTTCATTTGTAAAGTTCTTGACATATCATATAGTGCGAGCTCTGGTCTCCAAACTGGAGCCCCTTTCATTTTTCTCAATCCATACTTCAGGAAATAAATGGCAGCTGAAGGATTCAGAATCTCAAGTGAGATTTGTGCTTTACCATATACCTGAAAAAAAACAATAACAGAAAACAACATTACTACTCCTTTGGTATCTATAGATATTTTGCTCTCAGGAATAACATGCACAGATGTTGTTAAAACAAAACTCAGAGAATTAGCAAGTTGCCAAAGAGATGCAACACCTTATATGCCGTAGAGCTCTGTATTATGCACAGTATTTGTCCCACTAAAAGACAGTCAGCTAAAACCTTTGCTTTGAAGAAAATTCAGATTTTCCAAGGCATGACAACTTCTAACATTGGAAGACTGTTATTAAAGATAACTCTAGTTCATTCTGGAAATTTATATATTAGCTGAGACTTTTAAATAAGAAGCCATATAAACTTTGATGCTTGGAATTATTTTGACAATTCCCATAGGATTTTTCTTTTTGAAGTTCACTCAATCATTCAAGCAGTTTGCTGTGCAATCAACATGAAAAGATTAAACATTCATGAAATGCATGGTCTTCTCCCTTCCCTCAATATTTCTTCAACTGCCTCATAATAAGAAAGTTTCTTCTCTACAACATAAAAAAAGGTATTGCAATGAACTTCCCATTCAGAGAGGGTTCTGAACCACAGAGAAGCAGAGTCAGAAATGCTGCTGCTCTTCACAGAGCTGCTGGTGCTCCTCCGTCCCTCATTTCTCATGAAAGGCAGAGCTGAATATTTGGAAGGCCCCTAAGATACAGAAGAATCACTAGTTCAAAGCTCATTATGTGCCATATCTTTTTTTACTTCCTTCCTCTTCTACCCCGTGCTGTGGACTCAAGGGCATGAGGATGAGATAAGGCTTCGTGGGTCTTTATCTTCAGGTAGTTTCTCAGCTTTTCTAAACTGTCATCTAGTGAGGCGGAGAGAGAAAGCAGAAGAGCTCGTAAGCTCAGAACTGCAGTCCAAGGGAAGGGCTGGGGCAGCAAAGGAAAACTCTACACCACCTAGCTTGTTCTCCACTCCTTTCCTTCTGCCCAAAGGGAGGTGGTGAACCACAGTAATCAATGATTAATGGTAACTACCCTTCTTAAAATTCATGCATATTACACTTTGGAGATTATTATTTATAGTCTGTAATAAAATATAGTGGTATATATTTAACTGTATCATCAGGGAAAATCTAACCAAGCAGTATTTTCAAGCTAAAACAATGTTCAGATGTCCGAGCTATATACAATCCCCTTGTTGCCATAACTTTTCATTCCCACAAAGTGTCATAAAAGCATCAGCACAAAGGATTTTCAACAGGAAACACACCTGTCCAAAGTTTCCCAGAAGCGTAGAAATACTGGTCTGTCCAAGTGTCTTTTGTGGTAGCTTAGTTCTAACACTGTTACATCCCATTTTTGTACATTTGGATCCAGACGAACTTCATCATATTTGAGATGAAAAGCTTTAACTACAGGGAACAGAAAAACACTCGGTGTACAAACATGACGACTTTACAGTGTTTAATTATTAGTCAAAGAGAATTCCCACCTCGCTCCTCTTTTTCCAGAATAAAGCCTGAAAACAGAATTAAGGAGCCCATCTCTCAAGAAAGTCAACTAGTTAATAAAGGGCACTGAGTTATATATAGTGGTCAGTGGTCACTATCAAGCTCTCATGCTGTTAGAGGTTTAAGTGAAAGGGTAGCCCCTATTTTTAGATGCACAGATTCCAGGAGAATAGCAAGAACTTATTGCCAATTCAAGTACATTTTCTTTGGGAAACAAAGATGTTCTGTCTGAAAGTCTTTGAACTGTTTGAGGATTAAAAAAACAAAGCATTTCTGAGACCTGAGAAGGAAGCTTGGCTATTTCCTGAAAGTTTGTGTGGAAGACTGATAGCAGAATGGCAGTGTAACCCACAAATGCTACATGAAACATTCTGAGAAATTTAGTAGCTGCCAACTTCCCCTCATCTAGTACTCAGTTAAAAATGGTAAAACACTAACAGTTATTTCACTCTTAGGAAGTATTGTCACACGTGAACCATGAAAAGCTTAAGCATTAACGCAGTATTACAATCTTCTTGCGATTCTTCTTGATATCCTTAGTTGAATCATAGTTTTGACATAATCCAGTGCAAAGTATTTAAGTCTTGTACAATTCCTATCTGGTAACCAATTTGATACATTTTCTATTTTGGCTATTATTGGAGAAATAAAGCAGAAGCCTTTGACCAGGGTTGTGGAAACTAGTTATTTTTAATACCAGGTTCATAACTTTTCTGGTATCGTACTCTTCATTTTTTTCTTCCACAAAATCCACCCACAATTTTATTCAAATGGCTAAAATAAATTTTTAAATAAATAAAGAAATAAATAAATCAGCCCTCTTTTCCAGACACAGGTCAATCTATACAATTGTATATCTAGGAGCTTTCTAGAAGATTGGTGTGTGAAATTAGCTTTTTTTTTTCCAATTAACAAATTAAAGAAGTGATTATCTGGCTTGTACCATTGTCAGATAAATTTCCAAGCTTTGTGAATGAAAACTAAGAATATATATACATTATATATATATTATTTTTGCCATACAACATTGCATGTTTTAAAGTAAGTCCAGAGAAAGCAAATAAAGATATACCGGGGCTACACATTTACAGAAAACTTAATCAACACCTGACAAAACCTCTGCACTGAGGTTAAACGATATTGAACAGCAGACAATCCACTTGTGAACCTGAAACAAATCACTATTAAGGAGCACTAATGCGCTCTAGCAGCAAGACCTTTAAAACAGCATTAAAAATTAAGTACTTCTTCATTAAAGTGACATCATTCAAAATTTCATCTGAAACATTCACTTGCAGATGCAAAAATAAGCTTGTTTGCTATGTGAACATTGAACACTCAGACCACACAAACACTAAGGAGAACAATTTTAGAGACTCAACTAACAAATGCTACGTGACATAGCAATTGAACAAATACAACCCGTTTGAAAGGATTTTCAAAATACCTTGCTTTGAAACAACAGAATGTATTTCCAAAATTAAAAAGGGTTCTTTTAAATGCAGCTTTGTAAGTCAAGTAAGAACAGATATCCTTCTTTCACTTGAAAAATCTAGGAATTTGTACACCTTCAAACTGAACTACACAGATTATTATTTTGATTTTTTGGCACAAGGAAGACTTAAAAAAAGTCAAAACATGTCATAACAATTCCTATGGCCCTCTATACGTTTCTATATACATAATGGTAAAATTAATAGGATCTTGCATTTACCTATTAACTAGACCTTAAATATTTAACAGCATTTTTCTTGGTTTTGCTTTTCACAATTTCCATTTTCTCTGTATGTTCATTTTGAAGTGTTATTTTCCTCTTTTACTAGTCTCTTTTGTTAAATTCTCTCCTGTGGTGTATTTTTTATTTTACATTGACTTTCAGGCTCTTTCACTCTCTCCCTGTTCATTCTCAATTCCCTCTTAAACAACTCATTCTATTTTCTTATTCAGAGATACATCCTTGGCCTTCTGTCCGACTGTTTTCCTTTTTTTGCTCCTTACCAAACTAGCATTTTCTTTCCAGCTTCTACTATACATAACAAGTATGTGCACACATAAAGCTTAATCATCTGATCAAACTTGTTTCCTTCTGTGGGGTGTTGTTTTTTTTAAAATCTGTAGCTCATAAACCACTGGACACTATAAAAAGGTCTATATTCTAAGGCAGTTTCACAATGAAGCAACAGAGAACAGAAGCTGGCAATTTCTTTAGATACTATCACACACCTTCCAGTCAGAAGAGTGACCTGTGTGAGAAAAGCGTAGTGTGTCTCAAAGCACATTGGGCATAACTCTGATAATTCAAAAAACCCGTTCAGATCTATACAGTGGTAACATCCAGCTCACAACCTAGAAGTATTCATATCTTACTAAACGTTGAAGTTCTTGTCAGACACCAGATCATATTTGTAAAGCTTTTAGTGAAATACCAGGTGATTAAACCCCGGTTCAAAGTAGTAATGAAGTCTGAAGACAGCTTGTAAACCTGCTATCTATGAAGTGTTATAACATATATTGTCTTTTCAACTTTTTATTTTTTTTTAGAAGCCTGGAAAGCAAACAGTAAACTTACACACCAGCTATTTCTGAACCTCTTATAAAAATGACAACTCTGAGATTTCCATGAGCTTCCACAGGTCAGAACAAAAGAATTGCAGAGGGCACATTACTATCTTCCATCCATGTGAAGACCTAAGTGCCTGTCTTCTCAGCCACCTGAGTTCAACAGCACTTTGACAGTACTTGGCAGTATTTTGCCATGAGCATAAACATCCCACCAAAAAAACCCCCAAACAAACGCCAAAACACTTAACAAAACAAAAAACTTCCTTACTTTTTGCGAAGATATCAACAGGTGATCCATCAGGCAAGAGCCAAGGCCAGCCTTTGAACTGCCAAGCAGGACCCTGTACAAACACTGCCACCACACGATCCCTACAAGCACAGAAAGAGATGGACATGTTGATGGCCTTGAACATTTAAACTAAATATTTTCTTAAACAGTCAATATACTTTAGCATAATTTCTTAGCTTAGTAACAGCAGTATAGAACATTTAACAACCACAACTCCAGTGCAATTGCTTTTTCTCTGCTAAGAAAAAAAAAACAAACAAACCAGTGATTTTTCTGGAGTTTTAGCTCTATCCCTTTGCAGAATGCAACTAAGTTTCTCAAGTTACATTTAAAAGAAGTCAGACAGTGTTTATTTCTGGTCATTATTACCTTGCTTTTAAAAATGTGCTCCAACATTTCAGAGATAATCTTTCGTGAATACCACTGTAAACTGAGATGTATCCATTTAAAAGCCTTCATTCTAAATACTTTTAACTTCTATTCTAAAAATTCATTAGAAGAGACAGCTGTTAAATTGTTGCCTCTAGTTGCAAAGGGCATCATTTATTGTAAGGGTATGTAACCAATACCTGTGGTCTATGAAAAATTTGTGATTAAGATGAGGCTTCTACATTAATAAAATTAAAAAAAAAAACAACAACCCTTTGAGAACAAATGTCCTCTCACATATGGTCTTTTTCTTGAATATTTCCATCATCCAACCATGGTTTTTACCTACTACAACAAGTAATTACCTCTCTAATCTAATCCCAAAATTTAATTCATCATAAAGAATGGAAAAGAATCATCAAGATGGAATTTGGGTGAAGGGATTGTTTTGTTTTGGTTTGTTTGTTTGTTTTAAACACAGATTAAAGCTTTACTATTTAAATTGATGTTGTAGGTTTTGTAATGGTTAACAGAAAAAAAACCCAGTGGTTACATGTTAATTTCTAGATACTAATATCTGATTCTCCCTTAGATTAAAACAAGCTAAAACACCCACACCACCTCATCTCTTTGGTAAGAAGCACTTTAGGAACCATTTTAGATTGTTCTTAAAGGTTTGATCATTAAACATTTTAAGTGCTATTTGATACCTAGAATTTCAAAACCACGGATTTATGATTAGTTCCAGTTCTCAACACAGAGATGTAATTTAGGAACAGGACTTTTTCAAAGTATTCCTCTCCATTAAAAACTTCTTTGTAAGTTACAAAGCCACCAAAAATGTCATCGTGTGCACCTAAAATCTTCATACTTGTGAGGAAGAAGTAATGATGTTGCCTGAAACAAGATGTTTCTCCAGAATTTTCCTGCTCAAAGAGAAATGTTTTCATAGCATTGATGAATGGCCTACAGACAAAATAATCTGTTTCCAGCTTTTTTTTTTTTTTTTTTTTTTTTTTTTTTTAAAGTAAAAGCTATCTATGATTCCCTTTCCCCAGCTGGGGCTCCCCCTTCAGAAGTAAGCTTTCCTCACTGAACCCAATTCAATTAATCTCATTCAATAGTGAAACCACAGTTCAGTCTTTACTATCTGATGTGTTTTCTCAAACTATTAAAAAAAATGTCAGATGCTGAAGGCCTGGAAACACATCCTCCCGATAGACTCTCATTTAGAAAGCAGATGAGAAAGAGGGCATTTTCTCTCAGACTTGCACACTCCAATATTACGAACAAGAAAATTCATATGAATATTCCTATTCAAATTTCTGCAACATTTCAGACAACCCTAGTAGAAATAGTTGTGCTGCTCATACTGTTAAAATGTAGAGTGTTGCAATTTCTTAGGATCTTTTAAAGAAGTTTAGTTTCATATTATTTTCACCTGAAGAAAATACTCCTATACCGTTAACAATTAAATCCATTCTTACATCCCTATCTTTACTTTTTAGTGACTTTAGTAGCATTTTATTGGTGTCCTCCAAATTCTGCATTCTCCTGGTTAAGAAATTTTGTAAAGGGGAGATCTGTTTTACCAGTCTTGTGGCATAAGCTTCAGAGGTTGGTCTACTACTCGATAAGGTACAGTAACGCTGACTGTCGTTCCCCCAGGCTGTATCTGGTCCTTCCTTCTCTGTATCAGAGTCTCATTCTCTCGTTGACAGCCTTGTTTCTTCTTTTCATCTGATGGTACAAACCTTGGGGAATAAAGAAACATTTAGTAGACAAAAACAAGAACTTGGCATTATTGGCAACAGTCACTGAAGCCACCTCATTTTCACTATTCCAAGCCTCCATCACTACTCATTCAGAACAGAAAAAAACCATAAGAATAGTATTTCATAAGCCCTTATGATAAAAACTACTAAAAGGTCCTCTGTCCCTCAAAACTACAGTCAGATCTGTTCTTACACCTTCATGGTATTCCTTGTCTACCTTACCCAATGCATCTGCAGATCACAACCTGCTGGGTGGCTAAAACTCATTCTTTTTAGTGAACAAAGGTAATATGGGGAAGCTTGGGTACTAAGAAACAATCACTTCCTGAAGCAAGTTTTACAGCTCTTGCTCTTGGAGCCCTCAGAATTATGTTTTCTCAAGAAGGCTGAGATTTTTGGTCAAAAAAGTTTTTGGGTGAGGTCTGGGGGTTTTTTTGGATGATGGTAATTTTACATTATCAATGATTCATCTGGTTACTATGATATATGATACTACAAATCTAGATTTTTTTTTTTTCCCCAAAGAGCTTCTCTGATAGATTAAGTGCTTGTAAAATAAGGATAATGTGATCCTCATTGCCTTAAGTAATCTATGTATGTCAAAAATAAACATTTAAGATGTAAACCCCCCAAACGCATTACAGATCTTTGATTTTCAGCCCCTCACCTTAAAAAATGCAATTCCATTTCAAGAGTCTCTTTATGGCAAGAATAAAATAAAACATGCAGAACAGTTCTCAAAATCGGCATCATAAACGTGAGAGTCATGTAAGCCTTTTAGTGATCAATCTCAGTAGATTTTGTCAAAAAGAAAGATAACAAAATAATGCATTTTATAGAACTAAAACTATGTCACAAGCAAGTTAAGCTGAGGTGACCAGTATCACCTACCAGTCCAGCAAAAGAGCAGAGCTCAGACTCATGTTCTCCTAATATTCTACTCAGAACCACCCAGCTGCACTAACACTGTTCGCCACTGACGTTTCATTTCCAAAATTTCTGATAAAAAGAAACACTACATTTCATTTCACTGCAGAAGTCATCAAGAGTATTGCTGCTACATTTTAAAAGCAGAGTACTCTACATAATTGGTAAGATTTCTCTTCATTATAGCACTGATGGTGCTTTTTAAAAGTTTACTACATTTTTTGGGTAGTTACTTGCACCATTTCTACTTGTTCTCTTCAACCTATTTCTATTTGAAAACCAAAACCCAGTTTGAGTGTGTTAAAGAGGCAGACTGCACTTCCTATTGCTGGAAAAATAGAAAAAAAGGAATGAAAAATGAAATAGGAGGAAAGCTTCATTATTAAGTCAACTTGAAAATACTAGTTTTTGCAAACATTTTCTATCCAATGAGAAAATGGCATTTTGGGGAAAAAACCCCAAGCAAACATGTTTTAACGCAGTATGTGGAAATTGTCAATAAACATTCAAGCAAAAATATTTATTTTTCTAATTCAAAAAAACAGATGAAGCCCCCTTATACTCTTCAGGATTTAACAGTGTTTTAAAATCAGAAAGTCATAATTTCTGAAGTGTACCTCCAAAGGCATAGGACTGCACTGGAAAATTAAAAGAAAACTGCAAATAACTATGAACTGTGCATTAAAGTCAACTAGTACTGGAAGCATAGAAAAAGCATTACAGATGTTACATGATAAGCTATAAATTAAATTACACTTATCTGTCTAGTACATGCAAAACACCACCATTCTAAAGGAAATACAAATAAAAAGCACTATACAGGATACACTGGGACAAATACACTTAGGCCACCTGAAGTATTGCAAAACAAAACAAAACAAAAACCAACTAACCAACAATAACAACAAAAAAACCCCCAACCTGTTAGGACAGCCATTTCACCAATAATTGAAGTAATTAGAAAACAGTTAATATTTACATATATTTTATCTACCACATCCAACTTCTGCATGCAATTTCATGCTACACACAGAAGTGTTCAACACAGTTCTACTTTGGGAAAAGCTAGCAAATGTGACATCAGAATTAAGTGTTTCTCATCAAGTTGTTAATTTAAAAACTCGGAAGTGAGGTGCAGCTTTAATCATGAGCGTACCCAATGGTCTGTCCTGCCAAGATGTTGCAGGCTTTGCTCTGCCAATACTAACTGACAGGGAAACTGCATTTTACAACTTAAAATGAGGATTTTCTTGGCCTTGGACTTTTAAGAAAACCATTCATGAGCCTTTCCTCACCCATTACAACTAAAGAATCTGGGCTAGAAAGATGGAAATAACATGGGTTTTTTTGTTTTTTTAAAGTATTTTAAAAATTTTAAAAACTACAAAACCGCCCCCCTCAAACACCTTTTACCTAAGTGGCAAGCTTTATATGAAAAGCCAGGATCATCTAAAAAAGTAGAGAGCTTGAAAAGACTTTTGTTATTACATGACCCATGCATGGAATGAGAACAAACTCTTATAGAATACATAAATAAAAACCAAACAACCATACATACATTACAGAGATAATCAAATATTCATACAAACAGCAATCTAAAAGGTCATATTCTGAATTTAATTTGTAAATGTGAGGAAGCAAATACATTTTAAATGGAAACAGGAAACCCAGGCACCACTGCCAAATTAGACAAACGTGGACACTAAGAAGCAATATTATTATTCTACAAAGAGTCTAACGATTTCACCACTCTATCAGATCTCTCAAATTTGTCTGGAACAGGCATTTTCAAATCTACTTCTAGCTTTAAATGTTTCTGTGTTTAAGAATTCATTTCAACACAGTTTATTGGCAGTTTCTCTCCATCTCAGCTGGAAACTCTTACAGACATTAAGGTAACATCTGGTTGTGCCTCAGTTATGTACCTCGTAGACAATAGCTTCAGTTTTATTTACTGTAATTCTTTTTCAATGCGTTTCTCCAGGACAGAACATAATATATCTTGTTATCTGAATTTTCTGAAGAAAAAATTACCAATGAGCAGATTCACATGGAAATGGCCGTCAAAGAAAGCACTGAATACATATATGTACACACACAGAGTACAGGAATAAATGACAGCTTACAAAAAGTTTATGAAATATATGCTTGCATTTCTAGGAACCATCAATTCAGTAAATATAATAAAAGCCATGTGCTGAAGAATAAAGAATCAATAGAAATTACCATATGATTATAAATATAATCATGGCTTACTCCATCACTACTTGGACATAAAAACAAGCTTACGAAATCTGAGCATTAAAGAAAACAGAAAAAAAAAAACCAACCTTCTCTTGGGGATAATTTGCCACAATACTATAGCTGGTGGTTTAACTACACATTTGTACTTGACATCTTTTTAATCATCCAATACACTAGAAATGTGTTCTGAAACCTGATTATGCAGGAGCTTACGGGTTTTTTGTTGCTTCTCCAGATTACTACTACTCTAGTAAAAAAAAACAAAACAAAACAAAAAACCATGTATCTACTTAGAATCTATTTTTATATCTCTACTAGGAAATTAATAGCACTCAATTATCTTGCTGTTAATTGCCAAAATCATTATTCACATAAAAACTGGTGCACTCTTGCACTTCACAAAGACAGCAGGTCCCTTTCCTAAGGAAACAGGCAAGCGATTGAACAAGATCAAATTATGGTAGGTAATTGGTAAGATACTATCCACTCAACTGCCAGAGGTTCTCCTGCTTAGGCTCTAAACTCGCATCAATTGCTAGCATTAACTTTGAAACACTTTCACTGAGGTCGGGTCAGCACTTTCTGGCCCTCAACTTGAGCATACTGAAAAATGCATGAACAGAGAATAAGGCAACTCCAATGCTGGACAGTCACCGAGACAACTGTACTATATATTTGATTTTATTTAGAACTGGAGACCTATTTTTACAACCCCTCAATATTTTTGTTGGATTATTGTATCAAAAGCTTAATACACCTATTTTTGCAATGGAACAAAGCTTTTCTTGCAATACATCATCCCTGAACCTTTCAGATAGTTTGCTCAGTATCAAAGCTGGATAAATCTCAGTGAGTTGCCTGGCCACATATGGTGAAGCGTATCATGAGTAACAGCATCATCATAATAAAAATACATAATCATCATCTAATCATTTACATCTGCCTGATATAATTCCTGCCTTATTTTTGTTCCATGTAAAGCAGAAGCATTGCCTCTGAAAAGCTTAACTTCAGATATTCTCAAATACTTACTCTGGAAAGCCAGATTTTTGCACAATAAATATGATATACAGTGTTTCATTCACGTAGCAAATAAGAATGAAGTGTATTATATGAAATATTTTTTAAGAGGCTTCAAAATATATCATAAAGTACTGCAGTTCTGATTTTAAATGAGATTATATCTTTTTAATATTTTAGAAACTCTTCATTTTTATCTTGCACTTGGCTACTTAAAAAAATAACCTTTCAAAAAAAGGTTATCAAGAATATTTCCATATTATACAGCATGTGAATTGTATATATCACAGTTTCTTATGGAAACGTCCCCCTACAAAATGTAAATTGCAACAAATATATCCAGCAGACAAATTAGATATCTTAAAAAAAAAAACCTTAATCCAGTTTCTGGTTTACCATTACACATTCTACTCATGATAGCTTTCCTTCTCTCCATATTCTCTACCTCAAACGAGAGCTAACATTAGTAATGAATTAAACATGCTAAGTGTTATACAAATGTCAGCCAGATTTGGCAAGGAAAAAAAACCCAACATACTACAGCACTATGGAAAGGGTTACTAAAAATGTTGGTATAATTAATAAGACAATTGAATTTAATGCCTTCCATAGTACTGGATTAAGAATGTCCTGTTTATTTTACAACAAACAATTTAAAATATCTGCTAATGAGACCACAATTACTTTTTCTCATATCCAAATTAACAATGCATTACTGTTCAGTTACTTATAAAAAAAAATAATCCAGCATGCTAGACAAAAACCATCCTAAAAGACAGAGATTCCCAGCTATGATTGTAAGTTTTAATTTTAAGTGGTTTGATCTCTAATTGTAACTTCAGCTTTGTTCCGTATTTTGTTTTAAGAAACATTTAAACAGAGGGAATTACAAAAGTTGGTTTTATTTACGAAACCCAAATACTCATTCTCTGTTTTCACACGCTTCACAGAACAGTGCTGCCTCAGGTATCAGCCATGGAAGAAAAAGTTGCCCTTTGAACAGCACATGCCACACGTGTATCACAGCCTCCATACCCTAACAATCCTGGGGGCCTCATTCTCCCAGGGTTCTCCTACAGTTCTTAGCAGTCTCCCCTGCAAGGGCTCTTACTCTTCCAGCTCCAAAAATCCCTTCTCCTTGTGCTATGTCATTGATCTCCTCTGATGGCTAATATGAGCAGTTTAGAAACACAAGAACCTCTAGAAATGCAAGAAATTCAAATCTACCTGCATCTTCCTCAGCAGGGGTAAGGTTTAAGTATTAATTTGTGTGTGTCTTGTCTATCTGGACAATATTTCTTTATTCTAAAACTTGTGGCAATGACATGTGTCTTCCAAATCTCTACTCTTCTGTCAAATTTAGCTGAAAGTGGGGAATGAGTTAAAGAAGGTAGTGACTTGGAAGCAGTAATTAGGTAAGTCGTCTTTCCTTGGAAAACCATCACATATCTATCAATCGCACTCTACATCAAGGCTAGTTCTACAATCTGCATACCTGAACAGTAAAAACAAACCCTGTAGCCATTCCTAAACAAACTACTTCAATAAATTTGAATGCAAAAAACCAACACAGGCCAGGTGGCATATTTTCTAGAAGAGTACTAGAACTCTCATGGCTAAATTAATACTTTGCTCTCCTGAATTCTGCTATTGCACTTCTGATTCATTAACATACCTTGCTTCTTCAGTTTGTCTTTCATACTTGCTAACTACATCAGTGTCCTCCTTTGACCCCTTAAACTTAATTTCATTTTCTTCTGGAACATGTTCTTTGCACTCTAACGATCAGCCTTTCCTCTTGGGGCAGGTCTTGAGAAGTTAACTGTAGCTCTACCCCTCTGGAACTGAAAACAGTGCAAGTCTCCTAGCACAGATATACATAGACATGACATATAGGTGTGTTATTCCATTACAGGTATTCCTGTACCAGAAAGTCACAAATTACATAAATATAAAATCCAGGGATTGTATTTGTGAAGTTTTTTCTTAAACATAAAATCCCACATAAACCAGCAACATCCTCTGTCAACACAATTGTATCAGTCCAGTAACTGCTTGCACATTAAACTATAATGTTAAAAGCCAGCCTTCTCTCCGACTAAACATTTCAGAAGAGGCACCAAGAGTCCCATACGCTTCCTGGATCTTTGATGATAAGTGCCAGTAATCTAGGAACTAGAAATAGCTGGAGAACAGAAGGCACCTGGTATCTCACAGCACAGTTTTAAAAAATTCTATGGTAACTCTGGTGAAAGCTGCAGCACCACAATAAGGACAGCCTATTTTTGAAGAAAAGCAGTGTATAGTCTCATAAAGGACAAGCAAAGTGCTGAAGGTGGAAAAAAGAAGAGTTCTCCATTTTTTGAACATACCATCACAGACCATCTGTAACACTGTATTTCTCTGTGAAAACAACTGCCTATTTCAGAAATTAACTGATACTAACTGACAGGCAACTCTAAACACCATAATCTGTTGGACAACCAGAAAGATGTTTTGGTTTGTGGGGTTTTGGGATGTGTTTTTCTTTTACACTCTCATCTCTAAAACTAGCTTGTCATGAGACAGCAGATATTCCCTCTTGCTTAATTACTAATTTGGAACTAGTCTACCTTTATATGTGAAAACAATTTTTTATACAGTATGTTCTAATCAGCTACTTACTTCAGATCTTGGAGAAGGTCCTTTGCATTAAGCATCGTTATTAAAGAGGTTGTGGCTGCTGGAATAATGATTATGGGAGTTCGAGATCCTGTAGAGATAATAAAATTACATTTGCCTGGGGGTTTTTCATGTTGTGGTTTTGGTTGTTGGGGTTTTTTTTCCCCCTTTTTTCATTAAAGGAACTGTACATAAAAACAAAACTCTTGCTTAACAGATCAAAATTAAGGAAAAATACTCAAGGAAAATTGTTGTAAATCTTTTCTAAACTGAACATTTTCATTCACCAAAAAAGCATATCCCTATATCAGGAGTCTCTAAACATAGGTAGGACTTATATTTAGCAAAACAGAATGCTGTCTGCATTCCACTGCTTGTTTATATTGTTGCTTGTGGTTCCAGCAAAAGCAGGATTCACACAAAAATGAAAAGGATGATGTAACTAAAACTGACTCACCTTTTTTCTGGTTTGGAGGGGGTCTTGCTTGAGAAACTGCAAAGAAACAAAAAATATGGCAGAATGACTAACACATAAAAACAAATATCATTGTAAGACAGAATTTCAACGTTTTTAGTTGCAGGAATGAACAGAGAAGCGACACACTATAGTCACTACATCATTTTCACAGATGCAATAGACAAAGTTGAATAAGGGATTTATAGTTTTGAGTATCACTATTCAGAAGATAAACAGATTTTGACTGTCTGAAACAGATGTCACAGCAGTTGAGTCAGTCTCTCCTGATTTTACTGAAACTAGTAATCCTTCTCCATTCCTCAAAAGATCAAGGCACTACAGCATTGACAGAATTTGCCAGCAATCTTGAAAAAGCCTGCTTGTAGATCTTAAGTTCAATAGTGTTGAACCAAGAGGAAGACTGTTTCACAACAAACAAATCTTTACCGACCCTCACCTTTTCATTAGTAGTTATTACTGCACAAGATATCTGTAGGATTTAGCTATCCTTAAATCTTATTCACATATAGAACTTACAACAATCAAAATCTGAATTTCAGGCTTACTCAAGGTAATGTGGGATTGCAGTTTTTGAGTTACATGAGCCAGAAACAATGAAACTTGACAGATATGGTAGCACAACAAAAAACCCAAACCAAAACAAAAAACAAGAACAACAACAACAAAAACAAACCCAAACCACCAAAGAGATACACAAACAATACTGGACAGAGAGAAACCAAAGAATTCCTCCATAAACCCTCCCTTTAAAAAAAAAAAAAAAAAAAATGTTTCCACTTCAGTCTTCCAAGTTGTGACCTCTTCAATATGGGTGATACTTCAGTCCAGAGTTGGAAAAGCAGATATATTTCTTCACTTTGGTGCTGTTACTGAATAACCTGGCTTCCTCCAAATACACCTTTTAAAGGTCAGTGTTCAGGAGTCCTAACTTAAGGGAAGAACTGTTGTGCTTGATAATTATCATCATACGTGTTTATCATATTTCACAATATCAGAAAATGGTGAGTAGTAGAAAGATTGATGCAGACTAACTCAAGTCTCAACTACCACTGTGCATGACAAATTTCATTAATTGACTTCCAATTTCATAGCACCAACTTACTCATGTTTATTTATGACCAACTGTTTCAGAAACTGCCTAGAACAGTATAAATATTCACAACATATAGTTGCCATTGTTGAAATATTGAGACCATATCCTTAATTATCTTCTCCTGACACTGTCAAATGCACAGATATAATTGGCGACACTATATTGAACTACATGAACTTTACCTACCCAATGATTTTAATTTTTTTTTAAGTCCTAGTATCTCTTAATGTAAAAAAGTTCCTGAGATATATGGGCAGCATCAGCTTCCCTAAAAAAAAAGCTGTACCAAGACAGGTTAATAGAAAAGTACTGCAGAAAGTACTGCAGAAAAGTGCAGAAAAAAAAAAATCTTAAATTAAAAGCACATCTCATATTTTTTCAAATCAGTATTATACAACTGTTTTACCCAATTCAACAAACGCTTCTCATGTGCAAAGCAGCATCCTCCTGGAAATTGCATGTTTTAAATACTTTCAATGCTAAGAACAGAACAACTGATTTTTTTAGAAGTTCCAAACCCCAAAATATCCTGGAACAGGCAGAAAGTTTTCTTTTTTTGTTTGTTTGGGTTTTTTTTTTAATGAAGCAGTATATACTTCCTTACACTATACCTCTCTTCTTTATTCTCTCTTCAACTTAAAATATGGAGGCAAGACAACAGATTAGACTGGCCTTAGAGAAGGGGAACGTCAGTATAACCTGTAGTACAAAAAATACACTTCTGCTAGTTAATGTCCCTGAAGTCACAGCTAGCAGTAGGGACCTGTGACAATTCAGTCAGATTTCTGTTCTTGCCACTTCTACCCTTTTCAGACTGCTGTCTGTCAACTCTATTTGCATTATCATGCTTAACAGAGCTAGTGAGATAAGTATGACAGGCAGCATGACCTTTCTAGCACCGAAATAACCAAACAGAAGAATCTGTACACAACAGCATTTAGGTATGCTCAGAATATTCAATATTAAAATAGATTTTTGGGGAAGAATAGCTTTTACAATATTAAATCTTAGCATTAAATCCTACTAATGTGTCTCAAGGAATTAGATACACATTGAACGCATTTAGTAGTCTCAACAAGAATATACAGTAGTTCTAGAAGAAGTATATTCATTGCAAAAGGTAGCTTTGTTTCCAAAAAAACCAGAACATCCCCTTTCCAATACCTTCATAACAACAATAACCATAACCTTGCTCTTAAATAACACCTTTCACTTGAGAATTTCTTCCACCAAACCAGAAATTATCATAGTATGTAAACTAGGTGCAGATATGCACATAGCTATTTGGAAATGGTGATTTCCTCATATACCAACTGTACCCTTACACTCTTTTAAAAACTCTTTCTAATGGTTTCTCATTAAAACAAAACAAAATACCTGTATCGTTCTATCTTTGAATCTCAATTTGAGATTCAATCTGACATACAAAATTGGCTTGGTAGCTAAAGTCTACTAACTGGAAATTTAAAAGCCAGTTGAGGATTCTGGTCCCATTACAAATACCTTACGTGCCAAGAAGTGTGAAGAAGTAATGATAACACAGTCAGAGAAAGCTTTATTTCTGATATGTTAATAACAGAAGTAATGATGTATCTCTTTTTGAGATTAGCTTTCCTATTTAGGTTGTTTCTCCTCAGAGTATTAACCAGCTCTCATTATGTATTTGAGCTGGCATTTGTGAAATACCAAGTCGACAACCAAGAAGTTTGTCACTTTTTAATCTCACGAGCTCCTCCTGTCAATGGGCAAGAATTGGACAACACACTGAAGAGAATGAACCCAAGCCCCAAGGTATAACATTAACCAAAAAGTTACGTGTTGTTTCCAATATATATGCAGTTAAGGGCGACAAATAAAAAAACCTCACTTCATTCTTCATCTAACTAAAGTTTTAAGTAGTACTTCTTTGAAACTCATACTTCTTTGGAACAGAAGTGTACATATGAAAGTATGTTACCTTACCTGGTCGTGGTACAGGCTGTGCTGCTGGAGTCTGTGTTTTTCGAGCAGAAGCACCTTCCTTTTAAAAGAAAGAAGAAGTAACATTAACAGCTGGCCTTCTTGTCAGGTACATGGGGCTTTTTTAGTGAGCACAGAGCTACAGAGGGTATCATGAAAATAAGGGCAATATATTTCCATTAAAGAGAAGAAAGAAAATAGTGAAGACATTAAAAATTCTTTACAGGTTCTGCTTTAGACTTTGGGAGGAGAGACAATCATAAGTTTTTACAGGTTTACATTTTAACCATCAAATGCCAATTAGACACATTTTTTCTATATTCAAAGAAACTTTTTCTATTTATAGTATTGTTTCATTTTACCTATGATCACTTTCACCAAGGGTTAATAACATAAATGTAAGCAATTTGCTATAGAAATTTCAAAACAAGATCTCCTCATGCTCTGGATGGAAAACTAGGACCAAGAAATTGCAATGCATTCCTGACTTGAAGAGTTTTAGTGCCCAGAAATAGCATTCTCATGATAATTAGTTCTGCTCATGCCTTATCCAATTACCTTAATGTAACAAACAAAAGACCTGCACTACCATTTATTCTTGTTAACTCTGCAGAGTCAACACACCACGTAAGAGAACAGTGAGGTCACACACGCCTGGTTCCAAAGCAACATTAAATTCCTGCAAGAACAAATTCTGTTCTGAGTAACTTCTGAGAAACCTCACTGAAGAAAACATATTACTAACAATATTACTAACACTGTAAAAAAATGCCATCTATTCCAGTCACTGCAGTTTGTAAGGTTGACAGAAAACCTTGTAACATGAAACCATGAATTTTATCTGAAAATTACTTAAACGCTATGTGAAGCATATCCTTCAACTGTGAGACACTCAGAAAGGTCAGAGATCCCACTCTGGGAAAAACCTGCTTGAAAGGACTCCAGTACAGCATTATCACACTTGTATGCCCATGTATAAATAACAGTATGTTCTGTAATTCAAGATTTAAAAAGCTAATGAGCAGGGGACTACACACAAGGAGCCTCAAGTTTCGTCATTTAAATAACACTTAAAGAACCTGCTTTTAAGTTTCCATCATGAAAGTTGAAACTTGTTTTTTTATCTCAAGAACTGTGAAGTACAAATAGAAGATCACTTGACAAGCCTTTAAAAAACCACAAATTTACTCAAAATATCTCCTCCCTGAGCTTTAGCCAAAGCCACCCATGATCAGTTACAATGGGCTGGAGCTGACGTTTGGTACAGAGCCCAGCTTTTGTAACTTTTACAGTCAGCAACCTCATATTAATCTTCAGTATAAGGATTTAACCCCCCATTGCAAGAAATGGATTAAACCTGAACTTTGCTGTATCTTTTCTGCTTATTAAAATACCAACGTGTCTATGTAGGGCACTTGAGTCAGTAACTGTTATTTTAAGACTTACTTTTTTAGTATCTGAGAAAAGGTATTTTTGCCAGTGTCCTTTCACAATAATTACTCAGAAAACGATGAAAATCAAAATACCACACTCTAAAGGAAGAGCAGCAGGAAAGGCTGAGTAACTTTGAGAGAAGACTTGCAACTGAGAAACAGCAGTTAATTGAAAGAATATCACCTGTCTTTTAACCAAGAAAGAGGAAATAAAACATTTTGCATCTGATTCTATAGAAAAAGGCCATTTTCTGTGTGAAAAGACTGTTCCTTTGGTACATTAATTACACATTTTGAATAAATACCAAGAATCCTTCCATAATCTTTCTTTAAATTCACTGCACTTTATGAAAGGGGAAAAAACCCCCCAAACATCAAGCTAAAGAAACATCACTTCCTGCGGTGCTAAGTTTTAAGTTTCTAAATCCAAGTCAGTTTGTTTGAATGTTTAACTATGACTGTCTGCGGGACCATCCATGCATTCCTCTTGCCTCCCCTACAGAATCAGTAATGCAACTTTTCCCTCCCTTACACTTACTGTGTATTGTCAATTAAAAAGTGTCTCCAATGTCTCAGACCCTGTGGGTCCTATGGCAGCTGCAACAAAGGGAGGGAACCAGGAGCTGCTTCCAATATTCGGGAGTTTTTAGAAATTCTTGGAAAGATTTATAATCAAATTACAACTGAAGCCTTGCTTTGATTTCCATATGACTTGTGCTTGTGATTTCCCTCTTCACCAAGACTTCCATAAAGCACTAGAATATACATAGGATCAAGCTTAACAAAATAACTTAGATGATCTATTTGGGAGTTTTTCATACTTTCCTCTGAACTGTCCTCTCTAAAGTGATTAAAGGGAAACTTAGTGCAGAAGCCTAAAAGAAAAGGCAGGGTTTTGAAAACAATGCAACTGAAACAAAGCAAACCTCCAAAACAACACTGGAAAAAAAATAATCACATGAAAATACCTGATTAATGGTAGGAAACAAATTCATTTAAATACGTAGACGCAAAAGACAGCTACCCCTTCCACACTTACGACCTTTATATTTGTAAGAACAATTTCTACAAATCAATATACGATGGAAGTCATGGCTTTTAGTTCTGTAAATCACTGCTCCAGACTAGTAATTTCACGGATGAACCACAGCTCACCACTCCTGATATTCTAGCATCTTAGCACAGAAGCTCAATTGTCACCTAATAAATGCATAACAGCCATTCTTTGTAACTGATTTACATCTCTCTTTATGATTATCAGTGACCCAATCACCACCTCCTATTATGTAAAAACTGAAGACATGGTAGCAAAAGAAGCTCTGATCAATATTTCAACCCCACATTTATTAACTGGCTTGTAAGGAGAGAAGTATACAAAAGCACAGAGCAGTGATGGTTGACAAGATACACGAAGTGGAGAAGAAAACCCGCTTTCAATAAGGAAGTCATTAGCAGGATAATTTTGCTAACATTTGACGCTGTCCTGAAAACAAAAGATGCTGGGTTTAGAGACAAGACAATGCTTTTGAAAAGGATTCAGATAGAGGTGTAAGTTTTACCTTTGACAACACACTAATTTACAATACAAGCTCTGTTTACAAGGCAGGCATAACCACAGAAAACTACACGCTAGGATTTCTCCCAGAGGAAAAGAAAATTAAGTTGCCAGAGTAAACTTCATAGTTGGTTCATTCAACCACACAAGGTAAGCGCTGCTGGCAATTAATGACCTGTTAGCAACTCAGAGGCAACTTCTCCTTTGCATGCTCTAACTCCTTGTAAAGACACTAGCCCATTTCTCGGTGAGCATGCAGTAAGATATTTCAAAGTCTTCTAATGGGAAGTTTTGAATGTAAAAGTTACTTTTAAGTTACCAGCACACTGCAAATTCTAACTCCAGTTAGGGGAGCTCTGGTTTGTGCAGCTGTATCCTAAGCATCAGAAGCAGCAGAAAAATTACTGTTTAGCTATTTAAAGAACATTCATTTCCTCAAAGTTTCTGAACACTTAACAGTTTTGCTTGAAGATGATATACCTAATTCTTATGCATAAGCCGTCTGAGACTGTTAAGTAGTATATTATGAATATTCATAAGTTGAAACTAATTTAGTAACAAAACCATGTAATTTGAAAAATACAAATCTTTAAGACGACCACTTAACACCGTGAGTTTACTTGGTTTAGTTGTGCTATTTACCATAGGAGGTTTTATATAGTTTGCTTATTATTTACATTAAACAGAAGAGTATTTAAATATTCAGAAGCAACAACCTGACATAGAATGAAATCAGGAAAACAGACACCGAAAGCTTTACACTTTCCTGGATTTCACTGCATCATTCACAGCTACACTGCAGTATATACTTCTCAGTGGAGTTCATTCCATGTCAGTACTAATGTTTCCTACCATACCAGACATTTACAAAATGTCTGCTCAAAAATTGCTTTTATTTCCATGTATGCCTTCTGCTGTTTACCATTGTCCTACCTAAATATCTAAAAATACTGGGTTTGTAAACCAAGGTATGAAAAGAAAACAAGTTAGTACATGAGGAAAAAAATATCCAGATTCCCACTTATAGTCAAACAAGGAAAAAAATCCCCACACCCTAAAGAATGACTGACTTCTACTGTTATTGTACACCCTGGTAATTAAGCTTTTAGTGTGTTCTTTTCTTCCCTCATTCCTTCATACAATTTCTATGTTTGTCTTAAAAATCCAGACACTGCTATGTGCTCTGATAAGCTTTCTGAAAGTAAACTACACTTACAACAAGAAGCAGCTTTAGGTTTATTGCTTAAAGTCCCCTAAATTTGTACGTTTTGTATATAGCCCACTGCACACCTTTCCTTTCACACCTTTTTCCCTTCCCTGCTTCTACATTATACAGGCGAGTTGCAGTATATTATGAAGACGCAAAATGTTTTGGAGAGATTCTTACCACCCTTGTCTGTCCTGCAATATACTGCATCCTCAATCCATTTTAATGTAAAAAGTTCACAAACTTTTAAAAGATCTATTTCTTGCAATATTAAATCTGAGATATTGCACCTACACAGACATGAAAAAATTATCTAACAAAAAACAAAGTTACCTATGGTCAATCTATGGTTGTATTTCGTTACCTAACAGGGGGTGTGGTGGGTTGGTTTTGTTTGGTTTTGGTTTGTTGTTGGGTTGTTTTGGGTTTTTTTTGGGGGGGTGGGGGGTGTTTTTTGGTTTGTTTGTTTGTGGGTTTTTTTAAATCAGCTTTTTAAACCTTCTGCAGTGTTTACTGACCTTTTTAATTAAAAAAAAAAATAAATCTGTCAGTCTTTGTATCTGTTTGCAAAAATCACCAATTGCCAATATTCATCTGACACCAAGACCTAATTAGTATTTTTCTATATTTCAGAACGAATTTTGTATTTCAGATATTTTGTACTTTTCTTAAGTCTAAATGAGCATTAACATTCACAGTTACGTTACTTTCACTCATTTTTGCACTGGAATCGGAAACTGCCTGAACATAATTTATGGTACATTTTAGGAAATGAACTCTAATGTTTAAAGCAATAAAACATGTTATATTGGTAGAAATTTTTGAGGCAGGTTTCACATATACTCAAGTTAGTTTACTCTCTTGAA